GTGTAGGGAGTCCAGATGCTGTGCTGGGAGCAGATGTGCATGGGGCCAGGCACAGTTGGTGGGGAGGTGCAACCCAAAGGGGTGACTGTTATACTTACATTACCTTTTGTATGATAATATAATATAGTAATACAATTAATTAATTGCATTAATTAATAACATTAATACTATAATATTTATATTATACTATTCATATTACATGTATATTAGTGTCTGAAATGAGGGGTACTGCTAAATTCTGCAGATTTGCAAAGAGTGCGAGTCTAAAAAGGCTGAGAACCCCTGCACTACACATACCTGAACACCAGCCAAACCTATTGCATTCATATCTGTTTTGCTCTGAAGTCATGAGCATCAGATGCTGTTATGCACTTGGGCTGTGGACTTTGCACCATCCTTGAGAGCCCGGGAAGAGTGGCTGTGAATAGGCCTGCAGTTGTGTTGCTCACAATTCCAATCTCTTTTCAGCCAGTAGTCTGCCCCAAAAGCTCTCTTCAGGCATTTATATAGGTGCTCTGGGAGTGGGGGGTGGGGGTGCTTTAATTAGAGCTGTTCTAATTAAAGTACCTGAAGTGTCTGGTATATCAGCATCCCCACACTAAGAAATAGTGGCGGGAGCGCTTTAACTAAAGTTCGTAGAACAAGTTTTAGTTAAAGCACCCCCACTGCCATTTTTCAGTGCAGGGACACTGATGCACAAGATGCTGGAATGGTAATTACCATGCTCCAGCAGGCTCAATTAATTGAGCAGACTTGAGTCTGCAGATTAATCGAGTCTGCTCCAACACGTTGTAATTACAGTGCATCAAAGCAGCCTCGCTGCTCGTGTAAAGGTTCCCTTTGGACTTACTCAAGGGCCACATGTCTCATATCTCCTTGCCTTTTCTGCTGCTTGCCTCCTCTTCTGGCAGCTTCTCCCCGGAGGCATACTAGCACACTTTAACCAAAGCAATACACAGCCCCCTGCCTTTACATTCAGCCCCCAGAAAAAAAACATTCTGACCACACAGATCTGCTCCTGACTAGCCTTGCATGTGGCCTGTGATCTGAGCAGTGAGTCCTGCATTTTTAGCTCTTACTCTGAGAAAAAGCTTGCCTGCTTCAAATATGTCCCTGAAGCAATGGCAGCTAGCACCACTCCCACTGTAAAAAGGTTTAATTCAACTTCCGCTGCAGTAATGTAAATAAGAGTTTTGCCTTGCTTCTGTCCTGAGCCCCAGATTGAATGTGCATGAGAGTGTGAAAATCATCTGCTTTTCGTTTTGGCCCAGTCTGCTGTGTCAGGTGAGGGGTGGTAGCCAGAGGCCTGGACAGTACATGTGTGGTTGGGTTGTCACGAAGACACAGAGGGCGCATCCAAATGTGCAGGCATGTGCAGTTTGTGGCACTGTAAACCTCTTTGTGGCACTGCAGATTGCACGTGGTAAACATTAAAATGTGCGCCGTGCTGCAAATTTGCAGTGCAGGGCCAAAATTAGCTATTGGGATTTTTTAGTAGCAAGAACCCCCACTGGATTAAAAAGCAGTGCAATGCATGTGCAACAAGCGTGCACCTGCAGACAGAGGCTAGACCATGCAGAGCAATATTCTGGATGCTGGCCATGCCTATGTGTTACTTGACCTGTGCCTCTGCTGCTCTAGGCCACCAGATAAGACTGCTGGGGCCAGCACTTGCGCTGGCCCCAACTTCCAGCTCTGCCTGGCTGAAAAGCTGGGAGGAGCTGGGCAAAGGCAGTTTTCCTGTTGCAGGACAATATGTCCCACAATGAAGCACATGTGCAGGATTGTGCACTGCAGCAATTTGTGCCACTGCAGGCACATACCCCTTCATGTCTGGACATGGCCAGAGATGGGGTAGGAGGACATTGTGCTCTAGTGGGATCAGAATAGTGCCAAGAGCCAGGAAACTTGGATTTTGTTCTTTGTTCTGACCTTGACTTTCTCTGGGTATCTGAGCAAGTCCTTAACCCTCATGCGCCTCCTTGCTGAGACCACTGTATTTGTGCTGTGTGGTTGGTCTGCATAGGTCAAGGGTAGGCAATTATTTCAGCTGGCAGGCCACTTAAGTAGTTTTGATGAGCTGTTGACGGGTGCACACATAAAATATTCCAGAAGATGTGATTTTTACAAAGTATAGATAAAAAATAAATTATATACTAAAAATCAAGAGCTCATCCAGGCGATGCAATACAGGTGCATTCCACCTCCATCTGGCCCACAACTGCCCCCATGGCGCTCTGCCCCTTCTACTTCTGCCTGATGCAGCCCGTGCCACACTGCCGCCCAGCCCTGGCCAGCATGCACAGGTTCCTGAGGGGCTGCTCCTACTGCTGCTGCAGCTGCTTGGGTACTGCTTGGCTTCCCCGACGTCCATCAGCTTCTCCTCCTCCTCCTCCTGCCCCTGCTGCACCACTCCAGGCCAGGGGGAAGCTGCAGCCTGGCAGCTCCTGCCCCAGCACATGGAGCTCCAGCTCCAACTCCAGCTCCCGGCTGCCCACAGGTGGCTACTCGTGGGTGGAAGCTGGCTGGAAACAAGAGCTGGAGCTCCACACTCTGGGGCAGGAGCTGCCTGGCTGCAGCTTCCCCCCTGCCTGGTGCAGCACAGTTGGGGCAGGAGGAGGAGGAGCTGCTGGAGAGAGCTGAGCAATACTCAGGCAGCTGCAGGAGCAGCCCCACTGGGAAGCTGTACATGCTGGCCAGGGCCAGGGCGGTGCCATTGGTGGACATGGGGTGGATGTGGCCAGGAGTGTGGTGCAGGCTGCCCTGCGTGGGTGTAAGCGGGGCTTCACCCCATGCAGAGTGCCATGGGACAGCCTTAGGCTGGATACAATCAATTGGTGGGCTGCATCCGGCTGTATTTTGCCCACACCTAGCACAGGCCAATGGAACTGTGCCCTGTTATCAGCCATGGAAACGCTGGGCACTCTCATAACCCCAGGCAGGTGGGGGCCTGAGTGGGGTTCCAGCCCTAGTGACACCGCTCAGGAGCTCTCAGCCAGGCTATAAACAGGATGTCTCCCAGCATGGATACAGCTCAGGTGCTGCCTGCAGCACCCAAGCAGACTCCTCCTGGTTGAGCGCCTGCCCTACATAACCCAGGAGTGGTGTTAACATGATGACAAGCAATTGTGTTCTAGGCTTTCTAGGAGGCTGAAGTGTGGGCGCTAATGCCTTGCACACCAGCGGCCTGGTTCATACCACACTACAAATAAGTTGTCACATGTAGCTGGATTTGCCATCCTCATGTCTATCGCACATGGATAGGCCCCGTGCTACCATTATGCTTGATCAAACTGGCTTGTAGGCCTGTGTATGGACAGGAGCCTAACTTACCCAGCTGCTTTGCTTTTCCTTCATGTGCTCTTATGCTCCTACCTCTGCACCTCAGAGCCCACAGCAAACCCCTTTCTAAGTCACCATCCTGGCAAAACACTGAAGTTGAGCATTTCTACATCTGTTTCCCAGAACAATTTCTTGGACTACTACGTTGCGTACCTGAGGGACCTCCCCGAATGCATCTCGCTGATCCATGTGGTGATTCTGAAGGAGGTATGCACACTCTTACCGCCACAGTCACAGATGCATGAACCATCACACACACATTTATCACTGCCCATTGTGAGCCTGCAGTTAGCACCCATCCCTGACCTTAGAGAATAGCTGCTTGTCATGTCTGCTATTAATGGACTCCTAGAATTTTTTCTAGGAATTCAGGGTTCAAGATGGTAGTGAGATCCTAGCTCATCCTGGAGCAAGTTTTTGATGCCATTAAGCACAAGTTAGTGACTGTCTTTAGACCTCAGCAGCCAAAAGCACTTTTCAAATGAACAGTCATAACACTAATTGCATCTTGGTTGCCTAGGGAAATTCTCCATGTTTTCATAATTTGCTGCTCCTCCCCTACACCCTCACTTTTTCTGCTTTGCTTGTGGATGACCCCACTTCGCAATACAAACTATCCTGCATCTGCCTGCCCACTGACATCCCCACCCAGTTCCACCACTCACCAAAACAGATCCCATGGCATCATCACACTTTCCATAGTTTTCCTCTTGCCAAGTTTTTCCTATAACGGGCCTTCCTAGCTAATCTGATCCTTCTGTTATCATCTGTTCCTGACTGACAACTTTGCTAATTGATTGGTTACTCTGAGTTATCAAAAGCAGCTGTCCAATGCCATCACTGTCATGCACATGAATGAAATCATATCCTCAATGTCCTCAATGTCAAATGGCCTGATCAACTGGACATCCTTAATGTCAACTGGACTAATATTGGCAAACAAACATTCCAGAAAATTCTCCTGTGTAGATCAGATTCTTGGGGAGGATCTAAGAAAATGGATACACCATTTTTTATGCCTCTTCACTGAGACAGCAATGCTGCCAGACCCACTTTGCAATTGAAAGGGGTCCAGCAGTGTGAGTACCTCAATTGGCTCTAAGTACTCTGGTCTAACCCAAGGCAGATAGGCTTTCTCAAAAGGCCAGATCTGCCTATCCTGACTCCTACTCAGGGCTTATCTATACAGGGACACTCAGGAAAGTGAATCCAAACTAATTTTTAAAATGGACTGGTTAAAACACATTAAATCCCTGTGGGGACATGCTTATTCAGAATTAAAGTTAAAGTCACTTTAATTCTGAATAAGAGTATGTGCAGGGACATAATGCTCGTTAGGTAATCCACTTTAAATCCACACCTTTAGATCACTTGGATTAACTCTCCTGAATGTCCCTGTGTAGGTAAGTAGTACCTTACATCTCAGGCAATGTCATACAGATCTGTGGAACTACATGCATACGTGACTGTTGTCAGTGGGAGGAAAGAGTTTACATACTGGGATTATTATCATCCAGTATTGCCCTTCACTTAGCATATCGCTGTGGACTGCAGTGACTGCTTCCTGTACAACATTCAATAAATACCAAAAGCTGCTGGGAAATGCACCTACTTTCCATGCTGTAGTAACTCTAAACCTTCTTTTTCCAACTCAGGTGGAAGAAGAAATTAAGTCTGATCTCTACATACTCTTCTTTCATATAGTCCAGCGTATCCCTGAATATCTTATTCACTTACAGGTAAGACTTCCTGATAGGCATATTCTCGGTCTTGGCCTTGCACACTGTAAGGATAACACTTGGCATCAATGCTGAACCTGATGTTGCCTAACCCAGCGGAGGACACTGGGGCCTGCCCAGTGCTGGGCCATTTGGCCAAACCTATGGGCCCTTTCCTGACCTGGAAGCCATGGAAGTGGAAGCCATCATCAGGACTGATGACTTCCTCAAACTCTCATATGAATTTCCCCACCCTGGGCCAGCCTTTGTAGCTGGGAAAATGCACAGCTTCAATGTCCTCTCAGTGAAAGAGCCAGGCCAGCACATGTTTGTGGGGACTGCGCAGATGGCTGGAGCTGGGCCTGCAGGAGAGAACAGCCAGTCACCTGCAACTGAGTGGCTGCCAACAGCATGGCCTAGTGCCTTAGCATGAACCTGGAAGGAAAGGTCTCCCGGAGAGAGCAGGTTGAGAAGCAGCGCTTCCAGCTTATGGGAAATGTCACTTTGTCAAAATTTGGTGAAACCGTTATCAGATAATAACCGCCCCCCGCGTGCCCCAGCCATTCTCAGCATTTCTTGTGGACTTGAGTCTCCCTGGCCAGTGCTCGGTACAGACAGCCTCAGAGCTGCTCTGAGCCCTTTCCAGTACATCCAGGCTTTCACAGCCAGAGATGTAGCAGGGCAATTCTGCTGCTTGGGTAGTGGGTCTGCACAGAGCAGTGCCAGTGCCAGTACTATGTTACCAGCCACAGTGGTGTGGCCAGCTGTGATGGTGGTTATTTTTGCACTCCTCTCCTCCCTCAAAGATGGCACTTGGAGCTGCCCCAGTCACTCCCCCTACCTCACTGTTCACTGCCTTGGGTTCAGTGAAAGACTGTCAAACCTGAGGTGGTAGACATGAAACATTTTAAGCTCAACAAACTGCCATTCCCTGGTGAGACTGCTCAGAGGGCAAATTTCTGCCCAGCTCTTACCCTCTGCTCCAATCCCAGCTGTAGCATGAGCACTGTCTGGATGGGTTAGCACCTATCGGAGCTTCTCAATCTGCAGAGCAGGGTGCTGTTACCCTGCACTCACTTGCGGTGATATTGTGTCTAGTGGTTTGTGTTTCATGGAATCACAGCAGACAGGGTGGCTGGGGCCTCAAGAGGGCACATAACCAAACCCCCAGTCCCAAGACCTGATCAATCATACCTGGCAGCTGCTCCTCCAGCTATGGGGGTCCCACCACCTCCCTTAGTCCCCTGCTGCAGTGCTTAGCTGTCCTTCAGCTAGAAGGCTTTTACTACTGTCCAACCTCTATCTACCTTGTTGTGACATGAGCCCAGCTGTCCCCTAGGAGAGACAGGAAGAATGGACAACAGGGGAGAAGGCAGAAGGGCACCACTATTAAGGAGTCGATGGGACATTCCCTCCCCTACCCTACAGCTCGCTACTGTGGACATCCTTTCCTCTGAGCTGTGGGACAAAGGGCAGGGCCTCTCCATGTGCGATATTTAACATTGTCCCCAGGTCTGGACCAGGTTGTGACACAGCCTGTGTGCCCATAGAAAGGGCAAGAGGTACCTGTGCACCACTAGGCAAGCTACACAGGCCTCACATTCAGGCACACAGGAGCAAGGAAGCCACTCGCCCACTTGCTATTTAAAAAGGGGGTAGGTGAGAATAGAAAGACCAGCCCATCCAAATGTTCTGGGCTGGCCTTGAATTTCAGGATTACATCCCAGTGTCCCCAGAGAGTCCCTTAAGATGGCCTTTTGTCACAAGGTCAAAAAAAAAATGTACCCAGTTGGCTTCCTGGTTGGTTTCTGGTTCAAAGTTAGTTGCTTTACCTCAAAGTTGGCTGTGGGAAAATGGACATGGTCTAGCCTCCTTCCCGCCATCCCCATGCTGCTGCTCACAGTGTGGAAAGTAGTACAGTAATTTGGGACAGGCATAGCAAGACAGGGCCAGGATTGTGTCTCAGAAGTGTAGGTCCTGGGAGAACAGCTCACAGGGCACCCTATGCTTGGGACCAGGCCAAAGAGCACAGTTGAGTCCCCTGGACCCTGTAGTGAGGTAACACAGGAGAAAGCATTCTGCCCTCTTGTTCATGAGAGTGGACACAGTCCAGAGGGGCGGGAGTCGGCACCCAAACAAGAGCACGTGCAGAGAAACCTCTGTAAAAGCAGCAGCACAGAGAGCTGGGCTCCGGGTCTCTTGACACAAGGGGCTTTGTCTGGGGGAGGCGTGTTCAACCCCATGCTCATCCTGCACACTACAGCATGATCGCAGCAAAGGTGATTCGGGACCTTGGTCTTGAGACAGCCCTTGTGGCTGACTCATCATTAACTAAATGTTTCAGCTGAGGTAAGCTCCAAGGGAGAGTAGCAAGAAGTGTCCTGCTAGGGCCAAGTTGGGGGTTGCATGGTGTTGGTTACCCATGCATTAAGCTAGCTCATGAGGGCTTGGGTGCACCATAGCAGTGGGGGGCCTCAATGAGGACAGGGCTGAGTGTACCCTCCCCAGCTACTATCTGCTGATGCACTCCAGACTGGGGAGCTTGCCATTGGGAGACCAAGGGCTCAGGAGCAGGTGCACAGGGATGAGCTTGAAGCAGCCTCATTGACCTGTTCCCAGGTATAGAGCCATGTCAGTGGGTGCGGGAGAATGGGACATGCTCAGCCCTGCCCTCACAAAGACCTGCCACTGGAGGAGTGTAGATGAGCCCTTGAGGGGCCAGCCCTTAATTAATTGGGCCTATCACACCTCCAGCCCCAGAACCCCCATGGTACATAAGCAGAGCCATGGTGGAGCTGGCTTATCCTAAGAGTGAGCCCGGAGCCATAGCAGAGCATTTATGCCACTCACACCACCGACTCTCCTCTGTGTCCCAGAACGTCTTGAAGTTCACAGAGCAAGAGCACCCTGATTACTACCTGCTCCTAGTGTGTGTGCAGCGTCTTCGGGTCTTCATCTCACACTACAGCCTCCTCTTCCAGTGCAATGAAGACCTGCTCATCCAGAAGCGGAAGAAGCTTAAGAAGTAAGTCTGGGCCCTGGATGTGTCCTTGCACTCCCCGGGAAGATGGGTCAGATTGGCTGAAAATGCAGGGCCCAGTTCTGGGAGGGGGCCTTTGCACCATTGGGGAGCACTCTCACACTCACTTCTCCCACTCGGAGCAGCCACTTCCAGGCAGTTCTAAGAAGGAAAGGGAGCTCCTTTGTTTTGTTGATCCTTTGTTCTCAGAGGCCTGGTCTGCACTAGAAAAATCTGCTGCCAGTGGCAGATGTCAGATAGAGACAAGCATTCAGCAAGGCAGGAGGAAGGTGTGCGTGGAGCAGGCTTTAGCCACTGCCTGCTGATTTGGCATGAAAAATGCCCTGAGGACCTCACAAGTTAAATGGACAAAGCACAGGGAGTAGCATCATCCTTGTGTCATAGATGGGGAGTGGAGACACAGAATAATGTGCACAGTCACACATGGAGTTAGTGGCAGAGCCAGCAAGCAACCCCTGGTCACCTGCATCCTAAATCAGGGCCTTGCACACAAATCCATCTTCCCTTGTGAGGCTGAGCCCAGGGCAAGCCAACCCTGGAGTAGTAGCCTGTGATGGGACAGTGTTCTTTAACAATGTGCCACTCGCTCAGCTCTGGTGGGGCTCACTTGCTTGCCCATTCCCTGCCTCCTCTCTTTAATGGCGATGAATTTCCATTCCCCTAGGTCGTCCTTGGTTAAGTTATACAAAGGTCTGGCTTCCAGCGCCAGCCAGGAAGTATCTCCGACACCCAGCGCCACATCTCTCCGGGACAGCGGGATCCACTCCGAAGAGGCCATGCAGCCGTTCCCACCCACCCCCTTGGCGAGCACAACAGCCCCGTAAGCCTACTGCCAGACTGGGATGGCCAGCGACGTAGATTGCAGCATATCTCCAGCTGCACACAGTCCCACTGGGTTAGGGCAGCAACCGATCGTTACCAGAAAGAGCCAAGCCTGCACCAGGAGCCTGGCTGCCCTGGTGCCTGCCTACAGGGAGGAATCTGACACCTTTGTGCCATGTGACGAAGGTTGCCATGCTTTCTCAATGGAAGTTATTGAGGGCACAGGATAGTGAGTCTGAGTGGGAGGTTCTCTTTATGCAGCACTCAGAGATGGGGGCAGCATGTAATGCAGTGATTGCATGTGAATTCTGACATGCTGATTGGCTAACAATGGCTGTCAAGAATCAAGAAGGGTTTACATATTTTGTAGTTGGGAAATTGCAGGCCATTTGGGGAGCAGAGGCTAGTGGAAGGACTGGTCAAATGGTGGGGAAATACAGTACACTCTGGTCTAGTTAGGGAGCCTGTAATCTGGTGGTGTCTTTCCAAAAGGCCTGTGGTTCAGATGGCAGCTCTGAGCTGGACATAGGAGTCCCTGTGGCATAGTCCTCTGATCTGGTCTAAATGATACCTTTGGGCCTTCTGGGCTCATATCTATTGTATGGAAGAAAACATGGTGACATTTAGTCCCTGGGTTTGGAACAGCAGTGATTTTTCATTTATTGGAAATTTTTTGTAAATTTTTTTTATAGAAAATGTTTGGGATTTTCCACAAAAAACGTGCAGCTGTATCCTTTGAGTTCTAGCCGGGTGGGTTGGGAACCTAAGTAGTAGGAGTCACTCTGGAAGACCCAAGCTGATGAATAGGTTAGCTGTGCTGGCTGCTGACTGAGTGCTAGATGTTCAAGATCTGCTTGGGGTTAGTACCAAGCTCGTGTCCCAAAGCCTTATGAAAAGGGAAAAAATTGCCAGGGATAGATTTGTGGCATTTCAAAATCCCTCCCTGGGTGCTTGTGCTGTTACTTAACCTCAAATGCTGGCTGTGGCCCAGTGAGTGCAGTGGTTTCAGCAGATGCAAATAATGGGGCCATGTGGGCAGCCCCAGCAGAGGAAAAAATTGCACTTGAAAATTGAACATGCCTTCAAATCACCAGAATCTCCTCTGTGCTGCGGAGTTTGGCCACCAGATGTTGCCTTTGGTCTCCAGCTGTCTGTATATGACCATGCACAAATATGGCACAATCTGGCAAGCCCCAGCTTTCCCATGGCTTGAACAAAGAAACATGAGGCCTCAGGCGCCACAGAGTCACATCAGCGTGATGCCAGCTTGGACGTGCTCCAACAATGGAGTGCTATAGGGGCTGTTGGCCAATGAGAGGTCTGGCAGAGAGTGTTTCTAGTGCAGACCAGGCCTCCACCCCATTGTGTTTGCCTATGTATGTGTGCTTGAAGGAGCTACCCCTTCCAGCTAGGAGGGGGAGCCAGTTGCTAACCTATTAACACTATGCAAGTTCTCTCTCTTCCTGTCCCATGAGTTAGGGGCAGAGGGGGAAGGCAGAGCTGGGCAGGGTCTGAGGCTGCTTTCCTGTCCCTGCCTCCATCTACCCATGAGGTGTTGACCAGGTCCATTACAATGCACCTTCTGCAAGAGGGACCCCACTCATTCCGCATAGCAAGGGGATTTTCCACAGCTCTCCAATGGAGCAGGGGCCAGGATGGGCTCATCCCCCACATGCACAGTCCTGGATGCCCTTGAAAAGAAAGGGAGGGAGTGGGATAGAGAAGCACCCAGAATGATTGTTCAAGGAGACACAGCACTGGCAAGGTGGTAGTGCTCTGCTGACATGAGCAGGGATCACTGGGTTTGATCCTTGTTGGGTGTATCCATTACCATTACAATGGGGATTCCCATCCTGGTAACCTGGGTGCATCAGTTTTTCCTGCTGTGCCTCTCATGCCCTGCATTTGAGGGTGAAGACAACATGGGAGGGGCTGGGCTGGGCCTGCCAGGATGTTTGTACTTCATAGTATTTCCTCCTCCTCCTCCTCCCCAAGGCACCTGATGCCACAGATGAAGAAGCCCCAGCACACCATGATGGAGAACATCTCAGCTGTAAAGGCCCCTGAGTGGGAAGTAGAAGGGAGAAAGCATGAGAGACCTGAGAATCTCCTGGCCTCCTCACAGTTCACAGAGCAGGAGCTCAAGGCCCTCACTGCCACCCTGCAAGCCATCCCAGAGATGGAGTACGAAACACCCCCAGCTGAACCCATGGCAAATGTTGAACGACCTGCCAGGACCTCTGCTGAGCTGCTGCAGGATGCCCGCAGCTTCATGCCAAGCTACGAGGAGTTTGACTATGGGGGAGAAGTGTTCACCCTGCCAGGGCCCTACGAAGATGAGACCTTCCAAAACCTTGCCCTATTTGAGAACTGCTCTCCAGCCTCCTCCGAGTCCAGCTTGGACATTTGCTTTCTGAGGCCAGTGAACTTCACAGTGGAACCGGAGAGGACCGAGCACACAGTGCAGCCACTACCCAAGAACTGTGCCCCTGTCAGCAGCAGCACGTACAAGCGTGAAGCATTTCACAGCAAAGGCAAGCAGCTGAGCAGGTCTCTGAAGGAGCTGCCTCGGAGTGCAGAGGGCGTGAGTACAAGGCTGTACAGTACCAGGAGCAGCAGTGGTAGTCGGCTGCAGCAGAAGCCGGAGAGAAGCGTGCAGCCTCACGTGATAACCGTTTCATCTAGGAGCTCCCAGAGGAGCTACTTCCCCCCACAGAGAGGACCGGGTGAAAAGCAGAGCTTCTTGGAAGTAAGGAGGCTAAAGTGAAAAGCAAAATGCTGCCGCAGCAGCAGAAGCTGGGATGCAGCTAGGGGAGCACAAGCCAAACTAGCTTCCAGATTTGTACGGGCAAAGCCTGCTCCTGCGCACGCATAGTGCACCACACCCCACATGCACACAGAGGCCAGTTTGTAAGGCAGCCGCCATGGGTCCAGGGTAGGCGTTTTGACGAGTTTAAGCTTGGAGGCCGCCTTAGCAAACGGATCCCTCCCTGGGCCTCTCACTATCATCGCCCCAGTCCCTGTCGCCAAAATGCCACACTCCACCCTCCTCCCCATGCTTGGCACTCCATGTAGCAAGCACTTGGCTGAAGCTGGGTTGGTTATAATGAAACAAAGCCCTTGAAGAAAAGGGTGGCACCCCAGTAACTGGCTTGTGCTGCAGGTGCAAGTAAAAGCCAATGCTGCTGGGGCTAGATCATCAGCTGGTGTCAACCAGTGTAGCTCCATCTGGACTCAGCCCATTGGCACCAATGAGCAACCTGGCCCCCAAGCTATGCCTTGTCTGGCATTGGATTGAATGTTTTTTGTAGGAATGTGGCAAGGGCAGACCTCCTCTATCTATAGCAGTAGCCCTGTGCCAGCCTGGGCAATGGTCTTATCTGGGACAGGTGCCACTCCTATCCCTGCTGGCACAGGGAGGCCCTTCCTGCCCTGAGGGTCACAGGGAGGATGCTGGCTGTTTGCACTTCCTAACTGTGGGAGGATCTGCCAGGCAGTGGGCGACTTCAGCCACCCAACCATAGTGACGAACAGGGAGTGGACTGAGTAGCAATGACTGAGCTACTGCCCCCAGGTCCTGTTGGCAGAAGCCAGCAGGGGCTGGGGGAGGAGCAACCAGAGAGAGCTCTGGGCCAGAGAAAGGGTAGCATAGGAGTGCAGAAAGACAAGGTTGGAAAACAGATGAGGAGGAGAACTGAGAGCATGAGACAGGGGTGGGAGCCTGCTGTGGCACACAGAGAGGGGGAGCTCTCAGGAAAGCAAAGGAAACTGTCTGAAAAGGAGGGCATAGCATCAGGAAGCAAATGCCTACCCCCACAGCCTATCTGCACAGGGAAGTCAATCCCAGTAACTCATGTGAAGTTGCTCCAGATCAGCTCCTGCACTTCAAACTCTCACCTGGCCTCATCTCAGAACACTTTCCCCTTGCAAACAAGCCCCCTGCAGTAGAAGGCTCCCAGACAACACTGTCTCAGCTCATGTGAGCAAAACTGGGGCAAAAGAGGTGCATCCAGGGCAGTTGTGCATGGCATTTGGTGGCTGGGCAAAAGGCCTCCCACTGACACATGCACAGAAGTGTCCCTGTGTCAGTGAAAGCTGGCCACCACCCTGCCCTGCCCTGCTGCTTTACCTGCGGTAGAGCCAGCAGCACCCACCATCTCCAGTACAAGGAGGGACCTCCTTCCAGCACCCTGAGCTTGCTGGAGGCAGGCTCCTCCACCTGTGCGAAGAGGCAGAGATGGAGGGGGATGATCCTGCCTCCTCCCTTAACTAGTTTTCATGTTGTGAGCAAAAGGATTCAGAGTCCTCTGGCTTGGCAAGGCCTCTCCGAAGGGTACATGGTGAGCAGGGCCACAGTCAACCCCCAGCAGTGGCCTGAACTTATCATGACACCAAACCACGTAACTCATCCTTGCTGTCCCCTGCCCTGGCCCCTCAGATACCTGCACTCCCTGGTGATGAGGCGTAAGTCCCAGGGCAGTCTGTATGGACACCTTGGCTTTACTTTGCCTCCCACCAGGGCAGGCTGGCCCCCTCCACATCCCCCAATGCAGGGAGCATGGCGAGGGCATGAGGTTACGGACGCTGGTTAAATTGTCTTTTCCCTTTTAGGAGCTCCATGCAGAAGACAACACCAGGTTCTGCCAGAAGGATGACAATGAACAAACATCCTTCAGTGACCACAACCCGAGGCACGAGCCCAAAGGGGGCTTCCGGAGCTCCTTCCGCAAGCTCTTCAAAAAGAAATGAGCGCAATGAGAGAGGTGGGCAGCCAGCCAGCCAAGTGCTCCAGCCCTGCCTGGGGCCATGGGGTTGGAGGCAGGCAATGCCCCCTCAGGGTGCAGCTGCCAAGTTAATGGCTCACACATTAAAAAGAGTTGGGGGAGGAGGGGGAAGGTATTCATCTCTGCTCAGTGCAGTGGTGAGGGGTGCAGTAGTGGCAGACAGAGACAGTCTAGGTTGGTGATGATAGGAACACACAAAGCCTTCATCTGAACCTCAGAGTGAACTTCCCTCCAGGTCTGGGAAGCATTGCCACTCCACCCTCTGCAGTAGGAGTCACATTTCTTTGCCCCTCAGCTCCTCTACATGTCACCTGGGCCCAACACTAAAGCGGACTCACATGTGAGAGGAGCTGCATTTATGAGACCCTTAGCCTGACCAGAAGCCAGACATACCAAACATGTCAAAAAAAGAAAAAGAGAAGGATGTCTCCCCGCAGGGTCCCCTGCCCAATTGCGCAGGGCAGAGCCAACCCCACAACCACAGGTTGGGCCTTGGCTCTTTTGGCAAAGGCCCCCCAGCTGTTTTGGCTGTCCTGGGAAGTTCTGCTGTCACTTTCCTTTTGCCTGTTTCCCTTTGCCTGTTTCAAGCTGTATGAACAACTGCTCTTGCTGCCACGTGGCAGAGTTGATGCTGGTTCTTGTAGGATGGTGCCACCTTCTGACCCTCGCTTGGATCAGGGACCCACAGTGCTAGGCACTTGTGGCATGAGCAGTCTACTGTTCCCCTTGTGTACTGAGCAGATAGCTCAGAGCAGAGACTGTTTCTTCATCTGTGTCTATACAGCACCTGGTGCAAGGGCAGGGGAGTGGAGTGGGCTGATCATGTTGGAGGCCTCTAGGTGCTACTATAATATTTGTTATTAATAACTATTACTTTTTGCATGAAGCCGCCTTGCTGTACCGGGCATGTGCAATAGATTGCTTGGAATAATCAGTTAACTCTGAATGCATTACAAGCATTTCTGTTACCACTTCTTTCTTCTGATTGTATTGGCAAGGAATTTTTTTTTTTGCCATAACAAAGCCACAATTATTTTCACTGTGTTATTGATGTGAAAACACTCCCAGCTTAGTAATGCTGATAACCTAGACCAGTAACGTATATCCTTTAGTTAAAGAATAAAAGAAATGGAAGGAAATTAAATGCATCTTTCCTGTGCCCTACATGTTTGGCAGTAAGAGCAGTTGTTTCCATGGGGCTGCAACACTGGAAGCAGTGTACGTATTACCTTGGTGTTACTGCAGTGCCTATGATACTCACAGAGTGCGTTTACATGAGATGTTTACTATGCAGTTGACTAATTAACTGTGCAGTAAACGTCTTGGTGTCTACACATGCAGCCCTATTAGGGCACATGAAACTAATAAACTCCACAGCAGGGAAGGACTTGTAAAATACAAGTCCTACCCTACTATGGAGTTTTTTGTGCACAGCAGTGCACATGTAGACATTGCCCTGGCTGGCTGGGGCACAGGGTACTTCAGTGTGGGGCTAGTCAGCAGGCAGCCCCTGGGCTGAAGCACCCTCATACCTCAGTCAGCCCCTCCACAGCACATGGAGCCTGGTCTGAGCAGCCTGGGTGGGTAGGGGACTGGGGGGTGGCGAGGGTGGTCAACCTGCCAGCCCACGGCTACTCCAACTGGGCTCCACATGCTGTGGAGTGGCTGGTTCAGGCACAAGGGTGCTTCAGCACAGGAGCTACCCCCGCACTGGTTAGCCCCGCACTGAAGCACCCTCATGCTTCAGCCAGCCCCCCTGCAGCATATGGAGCCTGGTTGGAGCAGCTCTGGGCTGGCAGGCTGACCCCTCCAGGTCCCCTGCTCCAACCAGGCTCCATGGGCTGTGCCCAAATAAACTCCAGAGCAATATGCTCCAAAGTTTATTCATGTGCATTAACTGTATGTACAGATGTGCACACAGAGACTGTTTTGGGTACTGCATAGGCACTGTGTTAAGGATGGCTCTCTTCTTTAAAGTACTTGCAGTCCATCTAGATACAGGGTGAAGGCAGAAGCACAGTATACAGAGCTCCCTGACCACTGTGCTCCATGAGTCCATGAACGGGTTAGACTAGTGTTGAGTCTGAGCAGGATACCGAGTTCCATGGCTATAGTTACAAATGGCCCTGCAGCTTGATCAGGTCATGTGTCCTGTCCAGCTACTGGTGGTGTGCCTGTGGGCCAAGCCTGATGCTAATCAGCATGCTGTCCAGCAGGTGAAGTGGAGGTGGCCCAGTCGGTCCAGCAGCAGGCTATGGCACTGCCATAAGGGGTCAGGAACCTGGAGCCCCAGTTGCTGGTTGCTCATGGTCACTCACACACTGCTCAGCCCTCTCTTGCAAGCTGGCAGTCTTGCTCTCAGCCAAACTTTTTCTTTTATGGATAAAAAAAAATTTGGTTTGTCACCAGAAACTAACATTTCCAGGGACAAGTTTCATCTTTGTTGTCAAAATATTCTAGCAGTTGAACAGCAAGAGAAAAAAATTCAAGAGAAGACAACATTAACCACCCCTCCCCCCTTTTGGTTTCTAAAAACTGAAAACTAAAAAACGTTGTGGCTTCTGGGAACCATTTTAGTTAAAAAAATACATTTATTTGGTGTAAAAAAAAAAGTCAAGAAAATTTGCAGGAAACGTTATGGTCTCCCCTCCTCCAAACAATTGCAATAGAAATTTCCTACCTAAAGTACCTGGCAGTGGTCAGATCACACTGTTCTAGCACTTCCCCATAGTGATTCTGCCTCCTGCCACCCTGGCAACCTTCTGCCCAGTATCAGTTCAATCAGTTCATGGGCACCTGTCCTGGCAGTAAGGGCTCCTGGATGCCTTTTACTGCTGAATCAGTGCAGCCAGAATATGGCACTGAGAAGCCAGCTGTGGACAGACCTCTTTGCCCATCAGCACGCTCCGCACCACAGCCAGCCTCACAGTCTAAACAAGAAAGGAATCATCCGGAGCAAAGGAGATGTGAGAGCCCATCAGGAGAAGGGTGCAGGTTGCACTGAAGAGCAGTCTAAGCTAAAGGCTGGAGGAGGAACAGAAGCAGGCTGAGTCATGTTGCCCAGCTGCAGGGCAGTGCCATCAAAGGCACAAAGGCAAGAAGAGGCTCAGGGAACGGTAGTGAAGAAGGACTGGGAGAGGACAGGGATGTACACAGGGTCAAGTTCTTGTGGCCTGTCTGATTCCAAACTCTCCATGACAGGGAAGCTATGCTGGCAGAGCCAGACATCAGTGCAGACGGGCCCACTGCAGTAGCCAGATTTCATGGAGAGCAGCCAAGGATGTGCAGGGACCTGGGGAAGCCCACTTGGTGTTTCAGCTTCTGTTTGTGGTCTCGGGTGGATGTTACAGTTCTGCTCCTGTGCCAATTCTGCCTCCTTGTCCCATAGGGGAATGGCACTGTTCTGCCTCTGTCTCTGCTCCAAGGCTGAAAAGTGTATTTAAAAAAGGAGAGGAGCCTGCTCAGTACAACGGCAGGTGAGCTCATCATTTCATGGGCTCTGGCCCAACCCTTGCTTTGATGCGCATGCTCTGGAATATTTTTTTCTGTCTCTGCCAAATAAACTCTGCTTTTAAATAATCGTCTTGTGTCTTTCTTTTTTTTCATCCAAGTGGTTAATGCAAATTCAGCTAGAGTGGGGGGGTGGGGGGAGGGGGTCTGTTTGTGGAGGGTGGGTGGTGAAGGGGGGGGGGGGGGGGGGGGGTGGGGTGGGGGTGTCTGAACTAAGAGGTGAAATGGGGGAGGAGGGAGTCAGGTATTTCTGATACAACCCTGCTCATGTACAAAAGGATCTACAACATCCTGCTTCCCTGAAAACAGGGGTGTGTGCAGGGATGGAGCCCCCGCTAGCAGGCAGTGGATTCCTTGCTCACAACACTCAGCTTCTTTCAGCCAGTGCTTAACCCAAAAGCCCGCTCAGCTTGTTTTTGGGACCAAGTGTTCAGGACCTCTCTTGCAGTGTGCGAGGTGTTTCCTTGGTGCATTTTCTCACGGCTATTTCTCTTACAGATGAACTGGCTTTCACACATCAAGGTCAAATAAAAGCCCCTGCCTACTCCTGAGCTTTTGTTTTGGGTAGTAATGAATTGGGGGGCACTGTTGATTCAAATGCCTGGTTCCATCCAAGAGCTTAATGGCTTCTTATAACTATCTTAAATGAAGAACAGCTGTTATACACACTAGATTGAAAGAGATTTAACTCAAACTCTAGCACTAGCTTTGCCATTGTCTCAACAGTCCAAAACAATGGCACCCTAAACAACCCCTCCCAGCCCAACACCTTCCTTCCCATATTTTCTTGCATACCACATGCCCTCATAGAAGACACGTGCCTTGTTTTGGGAAGACAGAAAAAGAAAAAGATTTTTTCAATATCCTGGCCAAAATCTGAGCCCATGGAGCAGTTTGCTCATCCTCAGCCAGCTCACTAGCTGTCTCAGGCAAAAGCTAGTTTGAATCCTCTCACAACCACTGCCAACTTTGCAGCAGCTTTTGACTGCTCAGTGAGTTAAAACTGGATTCCACCCCTGCTAAATGCCGGCTGCAGAGAAGGGAGAGAAACAGAGCCATGACAGCCATTACAGTGTCTCTATGCTTTTATTCAGGTGCAGAAGTCAGCTTCCCATCTTAAAAACACTCCCCACCCCCAGTTTTGAAGGATAATGTTTGGAGAAGAGGGTGTTTGTATGTCTATGATATGAGAGTAAGTATGGTAAATACTGTACAGATGCTGCAGTCTCACCATGTACAGAGTATTGTTTTATATCAGGCTATTTGCACCTCATCAACCCAAAACAATTTCACTACCATCAAAGTATGCTTGGAGTTTTGTTTCCCCTCCCAATTTCCGTTCATGTACATGGGACTGGCACTTCTTAAGGAGGCCTGAGGAAACAACTATTGTTTCTGTGGAAGGCACAGTTGGCAGAAGGGCTTACCATATTTGTTTTAATGGGGAATTTCTTC